TCATGTCAATGTTAGCTATGTTCGTTGACTGCATGACTGTCTGCCTCAGTACTGGCCCATCACAACCCGTGAGTACTTGTTAAAGCCCCACTGCATTACTTATAGCTACTTGGGCCCTCTATATATAGCAAACAATGCCTAATCGGTGCCTGTTGGTCCCCATGACCCCCTGTTTCTTATGTTAATTGAGAGCTGATTTGATGAGATAGCCTCCTGTCATTGATCTTGCAGGGAGCTCTAATCCCCATGGCCAAACTAGTGCAGACGGGCTTTGAAAGACTGTTCTTTTATTGTTTTTATTGATGTCACTATGATATTTCCATTGCTGTTCTTTCGAGTGTAATTTTTCGTCCTCTTCTCATCATTCTACTTCATCGTCATCATCATAATCATCATCATAATCATCATCATCATCATCATTATTTTTTATCATGTTTATTGATATTATTATCGTTATCATTCTAATGAGGATGATGATGATGTTATTCTTTTATTGATCATCATCATCACCATCATAATCATCATCAGATCACCACCATCATCATCATTACCGCCATCATCGTCATCACAAATCATCATCATCACCTTCAAATCATCTTCTTCTTCCCCATCACCACTTTGGGCAAGCTATTTTGTTCGACCACATGACGTAATTATAAGATTTTTTGTACACATGTTATACTAATCATTATTATCATGTAACGGCCGCAACCAAGATAGAATTCACTCCATGACGCCCCTCACTCTATTTCAAGCATGATGTTAGGAATGTCTTTAAACTCCTGGGGGCGTTTCACAAACACTAAGATCAATTTTAAGTTGGACTTAACTATGGCAGACTGTTCATGCCACTGTTTACTCTCACCATTTACTTGTATTGGTCTATCATGGTCACGAATCTACAGAATTTACATTTTTTGATAATTCATTATTGAAGGTAAAAATATTATCTAAAGATCACATTGATAAGAGCAAACAGTGGCATGAACGGCTTGTCATAGTTAAGTCCAACTTAAAGTCGATCTTAGTCTTTGTGAAACACTCCCCTGATGTCATTTGATTACTAAAAGTAATATGTTACTTATTTGATTGAATTTTAGATACTCACATTGATCAATTTTTACCGAATTAAGAATAACGAACTTGTACTGTACTTTATTTTGTTTTTCTGTTTATTTTGTTTTTTTCTCTTTTCAGCGACCATACATTGTCGACTACGATCACGGTCCACCACGCGGCCCCGTACACGTATACAAGGCATGATGGGGTTGTTTCAACTTTAACCCGTTGGCTTCTGAATTATCTCATTACCGTAGACCTAATACTGGGACCAGTCGACTCTCGTATACAAAGGGTTAATAAAGGAAGCCTTGAAACTGATCGGGAACCCCCCCCCCCCCACGAAATCAACTCAAGGCCTATCGTAACATTTCTAAATATGACGCACATTACTATTGAAAATGCCTTTAGCTTGATTATTTGAAAGTATTTGTGATTGTATTTTGGGGGAAATGCTACATGCATATTCAGGCAGGCTTATACCTGTGATGTAACTCAATAACAAAGAATAGGACAAAAATGAGGGAAAACCCTCTCCGCATTGCAACAAAGTATACATTCTAAACTTTATTACAATTATGTGCAACTTCTTTTCTTTCCTGTAGGTAGTAAAAAGGCAAGTATAAGAAGTGCGAGTATAGGGGGCTTAAAGAAACCGATATCTTTGAATTGCCTTAATCGAAATATATCGTTGCATGTCCTCTGCAAATACTCTATAAATAATTAATCCAGTGAACTAACACGACTATATTATGATTTTGTTCAGCGAGGCTGAGATTTTGGAATAATACTAATATGCAGTCATTAAAAAAAAAATCGTTTCCTTACGTTGATAAAAGATAAACGTTTTCGGTTGTAGACCCCCCCCCCCCTCATAACCAGGTTATAGCGTGTTATTTCTGCTTGACATTTTTAAAGCGGTTTTCAGATTAATTCTCTAATAAGAAGAATAAAATGTTTCACAAAATATCGATGTTACCATTATGGTTTTATAAACAAAATCGAATATTGTCTTACATATTATGCTGCAGATTTTCCCTGTCTTTGATGTATATTTTCTTTTGCATTCGTATTTTTTTATATATTTTGTTTGTTTTTACACAAAACTATGGAGAGCAATATTTTGTTTGATAGCGAGCATTTGTTGCCCCTCTCTCTTTTGTGATTATTTATATGGACCCAAAGAACGCAATACACAGTACATGAGATCTTCGCCCCATTTCACAAAAATTGTCATCAGTGACAAACGACAGTTTTTGTTATAAGCTAGTGAAATCCTTGCTTCTGATTGGTTATCAGCAGATTTGTCACTGATCTTAGTCATTTGTCATTGCAAAAAATCTTTGTAAAACAGGTCCCTACAATTTCAACAGGAGACAAGAGACAACAAGAAAAAATGACATAATCTCTCAGTGGTTTTCATTTATCAGGTAGAAGATCCAATGTCAATTAAAATGACACCAAGGTTATCAATGTGAATTCTAAGGCTATTTTTGTGAGGCGATGTCGTTTACAAAATTTGCTACTTTTACGACAACCGTTGTCACAATTCAAGCTGCGAGAAATTTGCACATGACGGCTTTCCATACTATCATCTGTGTTAACGAGAGCAGGGAACCGTTTCCCAAAGCCTCCTTCAATGACAAATGACAAAAATCAGTGACAAATCTGTTGATAACCAATCAGAAGCAAGGATTTCAGTAGCTTATAACAAAAACCTGTCACATGTCACTGATGACAAATTTGTGAAATGGGGCCCAAGAAATTGCGGTCTTTTGGGGGACACCCTGTATAATGTTTCTGCACTCCCTCTTACCTGCACATAATTAACCAAATATTACAGTTATTAATTAGTATAATCTCATTTTCTAACTCGTATAGGTCTTTACCTACTACTTTAATTATATCTCATCTTTCAACTTGATCTGATGACGTTCTTTGTTTATGATTTGTCATTATGTTATTAATCTATGTTTTCAATTCAATGTTTAATCTGGTTGAATAAAAAATAAATGTATTTTCTCCGGAAACCATTGATTCGTGATTCTAGTAAATATTACAACGCGTATAAGGTATGGTATTTCATGCTCTACTATGCAGTTTCTGTTACAAGGATGTTTTTTTTACAGAAAAATAACAAGCAAACAAACGACACACTATGCAAATTTTAAAATGTATATAGTCAATGGCGTTTTCACTGTTGCAGGAAAGGTCACTTGGGCTGCGTCTCACGAAACCGTCATAAGTACAAGTTCAGCGACATCCCATTGAAACGCGTGTTCAACTTAATACACGCATGTCAATGGGATGTCGCTGAACTTGTACTTATGACGGTTTCGTGAGACACAGCCCTGGTCACTAAAACAGTCAATACCAGGTTTCACTTTCAATACACACTTGTCACAAAAAGGGTCAGTATTTGAACGGAAAAACTCCATTGATATAATTGTGAATATTTTAGGTATGCCTACAAATACAGATTACACATAGTATTTTAATTATTTTTGACGGCCTTATTAAGAAAAAGGGATACTAAGGGGAAAACGCCGAAATATGAAACAGAATAAATACAAATGACATGTATGTACAAATAGCTAACTCTGAAAGATTACGGCAGATTTTTGGGAGTCACTTCGACCGTGCTCTCATTATTTCATTTCTTTCACAAAGTAATCGCATGACCAGAACCCAACTTTTGTTTACCTTTCCCCTCTCTGTGTCTGTCTCTCTGTCTGTCTGACTCTCTCTCTCTCTCTCTCTCTCTCTGTATGTTTTTCACTCTCTCTCTCTGTGTGTCTCTCCCTCTCTCTGTCTGTATGTCTGACTCTGTCTCTCTCTCCCTCTCTCTGTCTCTCTCTCTCTCTCTCTCTCTCTGTATGTCTGACTCTCTCCCTCTCTCTCTCTCTCTGTATGTTTGTCTCTCTCTCTCTCTGTCTCCCTCCATCTCTCTCTCTCTCTCTCTCTCTCTCTCTCTCTATATATATATATATATATATCTGTCTGTATGTCTGACTCTCTCCCTCTCTCTCTCTGTCTGTCTGTCTGTACGACTGACTTTCTCTCTCTCTCCGTGTCTCTCTCTGACTGTCTATCTCTCTCTCTCCCTATATGCCTGACTCTCTCTCTCTCTCTCTCTCTGTCTCTGTACGACTGACTTTCTGTCTCTCCGTATCTCTCTTTATGTCTCTCTCTCTCTCCCCTCCGCTCTCTCTCATATCGCCATTCACACATCCAAGCCCAGCCGAGAATGACAATACATTAATACAAAAGTCTTTTTTTTCTGACTTAGATTTTTCTTTTAATTGGAATAACATACGCCGTAACCTGATACCTTAAAAACTAATATAATATATATGAAAGACGTGCTGGGGGTGTTTCACAAAGATTTTAAGTCGAACTTAACTCTATGTTGGACTTAAATATTATGGCGAGCCATTTGTAGCCTAATAATGAAATACATTCAAAAGCAAAATTCAAGTATTTAAGACGTTTCATAAATTCCACATCAAGAACATGAAATCTCCGAAGATGATAGCAAATATGAATGATTTGAATCACCATTTGTATGCATTTTAAAATAATTTTTACAAAATATTTTCAATGCTGCTAAAGGCTTTCCATAATTGTTAAGTCCAACTTAGAGATAAGTTCAACTCAGGATCTATGTGAAACACCCCCCTGATTGCATACATTCTGGTTTGTATATTATTCTTTCTTTAACATCAGTGGAAGAGCAGTCGTCTCGTACACACTAGGTTCGGGGGTCGAAACAAAGTTGATGCACTAAGTGTCATTTGATAAAGCATTAATCCTTATTACCACGTCCCTCGGAGAGGCCCGGGACTTTAAACCGTCGGTCCCCTGGTTGCTCAAAATCATACAATTTAAAATCCACACACTGCTTCCTAAGAAGTCAGGAAAAACAAAGTATCATGCAATTACATTTTGTATACATTTTATTATAAATGCATCTCGCATTTCGATGTTATAGCATAATCTTGTTTTTTTCTTCGTCTGGCTTTTAGATGTTTTTAAAAATTTGTAATGAAATACGCCGTAACGTGAAACGTTAAAATAATAATGTGAAATACGTCTGATTTCAGACGTCTTTGTAGATAGGCCTACATTATTGTTTCATTTTTTCAGTGGTAGAGGAATGGTCTCTTAATCAGAGGGTCCCAGGATCAAAACCCAGTCGATGTGCCAGTGCCCTTTGGTTAAGGAGTTTATTCTCGTTACCAAGTCTCCTGTATATGACTTGACCTATTTAAATCTATTTCATTGAAAAAGATGTACACAAATTGACAAAAAACTAAAAACCAAATCACCATAACTGAGTTGCATAAACAATACATAAACAAATTCAATGTACAACACCTTACATATCAGCAACATTGAATTGCAATACGCACAAAAATCGTGGAAATTTATATTTAAATACTTTTAAGTATTCTACAAGAGGGATTGTTGATAATGAAGTAGAAAGATGTATTTTGTCGAGATAGAATTCAACATAATTCCGGAGAAATGGGTTATTGACAATGAAGAGATACGGGTATAGCTGTATATAAAGAATAATGAAGGGAGAGGGAGAGAATGAGACTTTGGATGTGTGAGAGAGAGAGAGAGAGAGAGAGAGAGAGAGAGAGAGAGAGAGAGGAGAGAGGGACACACACACACCACATACAGAGACAAACAGACGGAGAGATAGAGGGGGAAACATGCGTACGGAGAGAAGAAGGGTTAGTATGTGGGTATGTTGCCATGTGAAAGAAAGGGAGAGAGAGAGTGTGTTTGTTTGTGAGAGAGTGTGTTTGTTTGTGAGAAAGAGTTTGTGTGTGTGTGTGTGTGAGAGAGAGAGAGAGAGATTAAAAATAAAATGAAATGGAAGTACACTAGTACGTTTGAGAAAATTCAACGTACAAAAAAACAATTACAGTACAAAACTATCAAACAATATACTGTTTGATTTCATACACGTAGAAGAAGAAATATTCATATAGTACTGATATAACATACCCATTTTCTCTAAATAGACTAAAAACATGAAATAAAACAATTGTACTGAGGGCTATACAAAGTATTATCAAACTTCTTTCTCTATGATATTTATACAAACCCATTATTATTAATACCCTGTATCTAACTGTGAAATATAGGAACTCAACTGGAAATTTACTGTTGCCCATAAAGTTGGAGGAAAATATTCTTACATCTTTTTTATGAAATGATTGTCTCAATAATATGATATGTTATTGACATGTGAATTTATCATTCCCTCAGGTGCTTTATTGATCAATAAAGTTCTGAGAAAATGTAAACTTTATCTATTTAGAATAAATCATAATGTTGTCACAATCATTTCATGCAACGAAATAAGAAATAATTATTCCAACTTAATGGTAAACTGTGCAGTTTCACTATTTCAAGCTTAAAAAACTAATATTTAGAAAAAAAGGAAGACATGGTCATTTGACAAACCGAACAGAGCACCTTGATCAAAACATCAATGTAGAAATGTTATGATAGTGAACTAGATCAAGATTTTTCTTAAATCTGTTATTAATTTAATCCTAAATTAAAAATATTGGTCATATTAAATCACCATTTTAAAGAATAAGGCTAAACCCAACACTATAATGTTTAGCAAAGCATTTTAAAGCTGATCTTCCGTTAGTCCTCGGCCCTATAAGCTTGTGATTTGACAATTAAATTTTAAGAGTGTACTTAAACTAAATGCTATTATATCATAGACTTCCACTCAAGTCGCTGTAGGAAAAACGATTTATTATCACTAGTATCATGATCGAGAATATAGCATCAATTTTGTTTGTGCCTATCTTGTTCCAAAATCGAAATGATTAAAAAGTCACTAGATCTCGCTTGTATTATTATTATTGATGTTATAGTTATTAATGTTGTTATTGGATTAATTTAAAAGTCGTAGATCCTTCAAATATGATGATGAACGCCATTTATTCGGTCTAGAATTTTACCCCGGTCGTTGTACGAAGATTTTGTTACACTACTTTTACTATTTTTACTTGTAATTCCATCAGATCTCACTTGTTTTGGTCAGTCTAAATTAATCGCACTAAGGATGCGCTCCTTCCGGTTGTGAGTCCTGAAAAGATGAGATTGAAAAAATAGACAATGATAATGATAATTATAATGATAATAACATTGGGTACTTGTACAGAGCTCATATATGTCTGATGTGACACTTCTGGCGCTCCACGACCCCCCCCCCCCCCCCCGGCTTTAGCATGGCTACCATTATGACGCTCGAGGCATTTCAAGGAATTGATTCCTGCCAGGTACCCATTAACCTCACCTTGGTCGAGTGTGGCAAATGCAGAATAATTTAGATTCACAATGACTTCGCATTAACTAAGCACGGCTCATCGCCTCAGCTATTTTGGCGAGTCGATCGGGCCCACATATTAGGTCGTCATTGTAACTGCGGCATATCTGACACTTAATGACCCGTAATTTGGAGGGGTGCATGGAACAGGTTATAATTCGTGCTGGACTGTTTATCCTGCAGAAGATTGATTGTTTGAACCAGTGAAATAAATAAAAACTCACAAAAACTTGCTGGAAATCATCTTCAATAAAAATCACAACTGTAATTTGCACATAGTGACCTGTGTGTTGAGCACATGGTGTCGGGGTTACTTGACTTGATTTCCTAATCTCTCTATGCTCATTACTCAGTCCATATACATTGTCTACCAAAGTTGTTTGGCACATGCCATTTATGTGTAATATTGAACGTTCAGTGTAAGTTTTTCTTGGATTCTGTGAGAATTTATTTTCTATCATTACCAGAATTCCAGAACTCAAGCGCATCTTTAAAGCCTGTATGCACTAGTTTGGCCAGGAGGGATTATACCTCCCTGCGTGGACACTGGCAGGTGGATATCACATCAAATCAGCTCTCAATTAACATAAGAACAAGTTAGTGTGCCATAGGGGATCAATGGGTATGGCTTAGGCATTGTTGGATATATAGAGGGCGCAAGTAGCTACAAGTAGTGCAGTCCCGCTTTAAGGTTGGATTTCTGTGGTGTGTGTGTGTGTGTATTGGGTTATTACAGACGTGTATCAATCAGTTATGATTATTTACGTCTGGGGACCGACCTTTAAACGTCACCATCCGAAAGACGTGAATCAGTTTCGAGCCTGCGTCCTCGGTTGAATCAGTTTGTAACTTCCATTGTTAGCTGGATTACAGGCGCACGCCACGCCTAGTTATCATTATTATTAGTATCACTTACTATTATACTTATATGAGAGTACTTACATTTATGGTTTGTACAGTGCGGGGACCATCCTCGGTTGGTAGTCATAGTACATCGGCTGTTGCATCATTTGTCGCTAAAAACCGTCATGAAATACAAAACAAAACACAACAAAATAAATACTGGAAAGATGATCTCAGAAAACCCTTGAACTATTATGTATATTCAAACGTTTTCACATTGTTTTTATTTTACCATTGAATATTATTTTTCTAATGAGAAGAAGTCTCCTTTTTCGGTCTATGAGTGTCTTTCCGTCCGTTCACGACGGATGTAGCATCTTAGGATATTATCCTCAAAGCAATGTTTTATTTTCTTTCAGACAGTTTTATGCATATTCAATAAGATATTGTAGGTCAATCTTCCACGTTGTGCTTTTGACACGTTTAAATCTGGAGTACATTATTAAGAATAGCTGCATTTTAATTATTTCAAGTTACATTATGTATTAAATGAACACCCTCTAAATAAATATACACCAAGGCCGGCTTTCACAAAACTTGTCGTCAGTAAAAAAAAAAAAAAAATGACGGTTTTTGTTATAAGCTAATGAAATCCTTGCTTCTGATTGGTTATCAGCATATTAGTCACTGATTGTTGTCAATTGTCATTGACAAAAGGCTTTGTGAAACGGGTACCAGTTCGCAAACTTTGCTCAACAACTGACAAATATAAAGTAACTATTCCCAAATACAGATTTTCATCTACCCCACCAAAACGATTTAAAGTTAAGTTACTGGTTTGAAAACGTGGAAAAAAAAACCTTTTCCGTCAGAAGATTAATCTGTCTTCACACTTTCAAGAGATCCCTAATTTGAACCAGACTTCTTTCCTCAATGATTTACGTAGCATTTGTTGTATATCGTGTGTCTCTTCGAGTTCAGGAACGTTTGGTTTCTAGCAATCCTCAAAAGAACATATCATCGACTATACGGAAAGCAATTGTATTTATGTTTTGTTTCAATTCTGCTTGAGATGTCGCTTTTATGTTAAAAATTGTAGATTAAGGACCCCAAGAAAAAACAGTAGTATTCTATAAACACTGCTGAATTGGGCTTTCCACCGATTTTTGTCTATGTACATGTATAAATATTTCATTTTGTATAATATTTTAATCTGATTTAAAAACAACAACAACAACAATCGTACAGACAAACAAACAACTGAGCAAACTTACCTCGACTGGCGCACTTGGTCCGAAGAGGGAGCCAGAGCAGCAGTCGACAAACATGGCGATGAGAGCGAGGAAGAGGATGAAGACATTGGCCAAGATGATGGCGGTGTAGGTCTCGACGGCGTCCTGCTGCAAGATAATCAGTGTACCGGTGGTCGTGATCGCAGCCCATGCTCCCCAGGAGACGAACCCGATGCACAGACAGGCTACCATGACGGCGGTGAAGTTGCAGAAAACCACCGTGAATGAAAACTGGAACGAAGTATGAAGCAACAAATACAATAGTTATATTTATATAATATTGGATGGCTTTGAGTGTGATACAGGAATATATTGCTCGAGCTATGACAATATTGAAAGAGTCGAAGACGAGTCCAATATTGTAATAGCGAGAGCAATATATTCTTGTATCACACGAAAACAAAGCCATACAATATTATTACTATCATCTATATCAGGCTGACTAGCAAAATATCAAAGTTTGACTTACCTCGGTAAATATAGCATTTTTTGGGGGGATACCGATATAGATAGTTGAAGTTCTCGGATGACTGAGCAATACGAAAACAATATTGGTCAGTCATCCGGGTACTTGGCTAAAATAGTGACACAGATTTATTGTACCACTTTGAAGCCTTATATATAGAGATAATAATAAATAATATTCTGAGTTTATATTATTAATTTAATCCCCTCCCCAAAAAAGTGGAAAACAGGTATAATTTTTGTTAACGGCATACTCATCGCTAAATCATATACAGTGGGTTAAATCCATTTTAAAATGATACCTCATTTGTTATGTTTCCGTGAATTTCATGGAATGTACAGTAAATAAAATAATGGACAATTAAGGTCAAAAGTGAATAGTTCCAAAATGCACAGTACTGCTCTTGTTCGACTGTGCTTTCAAATTCCCCTTTCGCCTGGGCGTTTTAACAGTTGTTAACTTTTGCTTCAGAAAGTTGATGACTAAACTGTAGCAAATTGTGCCCAACATGTCATCTTAGTGTAAGAATTTCAATTTAAGATTCTTAAGAGTTCTGCTTTCATGGATGATCTGGGGGGCGTTTCATGAAACAATTAGTCGGTGGTTTTCACGACTAATATCATGTTCACCGACAATTCTTTTGTCACCGACTATTTTCCAGAACTGTGATTGGTCAAATTTAGTCAGCGCTGACTAAATTGTCAGTGAACATGATATTAGTCGGTGAAAACCACCGACTAATTGTTTCATGAAACGCCCCCCTGTTTGGAACAAAAGCTCCAGCTCTGTCATCTACAAAAACCACACTCTTCTACGTCAAGTATCATGCGAAGAATAAGAAACAGTTACACTGTCGCTCATAAAGGTGGAATATTTTTTTTTTATCCCAATTTATGGAATTATTTTTAAAATAATTTAAAAATAATAGATCTAGATAATAGGATACATTCTCAGATTTTATTGAATAATAATTTGCCAATGTGTGTTTTGCGTGACTGCTAAAGCATTTATATGCTACTATGCTTATCAACTAGGGGACCTATGCCCTTAAGTCATAAATGACAGTAATGAGGATTAATGCCCCACAAAAGGGCACTAATATAGCACATCGACACGGTGTTGATCCTGGGGCCTCACAGTAACGAGGCCATTGCTTTGTCACTGAACCATGACTGTACTCAGCGGGGGCTAGGGTAGGGGGCAGTTTCCATAAATTAAATAAAAAACAGAAAATGCAATAAATTTTTAATAATTTATTGCATTTTACCCCAGTCCCCAACATAAACAAATTCTCTGGACGGCCATGCATTATGGCTCAAGGCATGGGCACACAGAAGACTTTTTTATGTTGGAGACCGGGGTAGAATGCAATAAATTATTGAAAATTTATTGCATTTTCTGTGTTTTTTTTTAATTATGAAAACTGCCCCCTACCCTAGCCCCCGCTGCGTACAGTCATGGTTCAGTGACAAAGCAATGACCTCATAACTGTGAGGCCCCAGGATCAACACCGTGTCGATGTGCTATATTAGTGCCCTTTTGTGGGGCATTAATCCTCATTACTGTCATTTATGACTTAAGGGCATAGGTCCCCTAGTTGATAAACATAGTAGCATATACATGCTTTAGCAGTCACGCAAAACACACATTGGCAAATTATTATTCAATAAAATCTGAGAATGTATACTATTATCTATAACTAGTATTTTTAAATTCTTTTTAAAATAATTCCATAAATTGGGATTAAAAAAAATATTCCACCGTTATGAGCGACAGTGTACTATTAATTCAGTACGTGACGTACAAACGCTAATGAAATAGCGTAAGGTTACACGCCTAAAAATTAAACAACAACAACAACGGTTGATATTTCGAAAGTTTTTGCGACCGTGTTAGCAGCAAAATAAACTTGCACTGAAAATAAATCATGATCATATAAAATAAAGACATACAAATACAACTCAATACGGACAGTATGTTAAACAAACAGGAGGTAAAAACAATAATGCATATATAGTAACAGAATTAAAAAAAAAAATGATAGCTATACTTTTGGGAACTTACTTTACAAGTACTTTTTACCACATTTAAGTTTGCCCTTTTCTCATTTTCGAATGGTTAATTTGGTCTCTTTGATACTGTTTACATGTATAACATTTACATCAATTTGTATGATTGCACGTATTTAAAAAATAAGTATAATATTGTAATGATCTATTGTTTTTAAATGAAATATAAATTACCGGCAAGGTATCCTCTCGCTCTCGTTGCTGCTTCTTCTTCTTCTCAAAGACCTGCGTCAAGTTTGCACATCCAATCAGAACGAACTACAGAGGGCAGCAAAAACAGAAAAAGAAATATCTCAATTAAACACATTATGTGGTGCACAACTTTTTGAATAATTTTACACAGCCGTACACAACAAATTTACAGTGTATGCACTTGGAGAGCAAAATAATTATTATGTTTTATTTACTAATGTAAAGCCATTTGACCATGTATATGTATAGGCGCTATATAAATATCAATAATGTATGAGCAGTCTATGTATGCATGTAAGAACAGAGGCATTTCAATCAAACAAAGTTCATAATTAAAAGGTTTACAAAATAAAATAAATAGAACTAATTGGACGAAATTCGCAAAATTAAAGTATTTAGTATTAGATATGCAGAGTTAAGAAAAAAATCTCGGGAATGAAGAAAAGTATGAAATTGAATGACAAAATAGTGTTAAAATGAATGGGAAAGCCTATACTACCCCTTGGGCAATATTCTTAGTCGTGAACTAAAAGTTAGTGAGTAGTGAGGATGAGGATGGAGTCCACTGAGAGATAGTGGCCCGAATTCACAAAGGAGGTTTGTCGACAAACCTTGGTTTCGTACGTCATATGACGCGTTTTTACGCGTTTTTTTACAAACCTGGTTTGTAAAGAAAACAAGGAGGTTTGGCGAAACCAAAGGAGGTTTGTCGACAAACCTCCTTTGTGAATTCGGGCCAATAAGCTCATCATCACAAACAGCACATTATGTAAATAAAATTAAATTCGAAAGTTACATTAATCTTTTGGCTAAACAAATGTTTTAAATTACTAGATATCGAAGTCTCAAATCAATTTATAGATTTCAGCATATAGAACATGAAGTCCGGCATTCTAAAACAACTCCATCTGATAATATACGAGTGGTTTTTCATGGAGTGTAAATTCTACTCATTTTCAGGAAACACGTATTGTTTTGAGGTTTGACATCCATTCAACATGTTAAAACATGAGTCATAATGTAATAAATCGGATTTTCTAAAAAGGTTCGGATCTTTGCTAACAATACATTATCATAATGCGTCACGTGGTGTACAAACATGCATACCGGTAGTACAGATCCCAAAACTTCATTCACTAACGTATACTCAAAGCAGTTGGGCGTATATCCCGGAGACGTCATTGAATTAAGTTTGGTTCAGAGGAGAATAAAACAAAACTCTTCTGAATAATACAGTGCAAATAAAATACGTCACACGGTCTCGTGCCTACGTCAGAGAGCAAAAAGATCTGTTTTCAAAGTTTTACTTTACCGACCAGGGGGGTGTTTCACAAAGATCCTAAGTAGAACTTAACACTAAGATGGACTTAAAAAATATGGAAAGCCATTAGCATCTTTGAAAATATTTTGTAAAAGTTATTTTGAAAGGCATAAAATGTTGATTCAAATCATTTATATTTTCTATCATCAAGGAGACTTCATGTTCTGGATGTAGAATTCATAAAAAGTCTAAAATACTTGAATTTCTGCTTTTGAATAGATTTCATTTTAAGGCTCCAATGGCTGTCCATAATTTTTAAGTCCAACTTAGTGTTAAGTTCTATATACTTAGGATCTTTGTGAAACACCCTCCAGGTTGTGTTCCGGTGAAGTTAAAATAGTTTGTGAGATTCTTAATTCGTTTTATGTCACTTTGGAAGGATTGCTCTTCAATGCTCTCATACTTCAAATATGGCAAAATTGTTTGGACCCATTTACTGTTAAAGGCCAACTGTACTACTTGTAGTTACATGTACTTGCTCCCTCTATATAACAAACAATGCCTAATCGGTGACCAATGGTCCCCCGTGATCCTCTTTTTCTTATGTTAATTGAGAGCTGATTTGAAGAGATAATTACATGTCCAGTGACCTTGCAGTGTGGTGTGGTCTAATCCTTCCTGTACACTAGTACAGATGGGCTTTAAAGTTATTACGCTCAAGAGTATAAACACAGCGTTATTTTGGAAGGCTTTCACAGTGTTTGGATAATAGTTCATGATGAGTTTACACAGGGCTTTAAATTGCCCACAAGGTGTAATACAGTGTAAACACACCATGACCACAGTTAGACAGGGAGTACGCGCAATAGCGGATGCACTGTGTGGACACTCTATGGTGAGAGTAAGATTTACATTAATTACTTTATACAACAGTGAACGAAATATGAATGCGTTCACATTTCACACTTCCCAGTGTTCAATTAAAATAGATACACAGTATTTGCAATGTTTCTTAATTGTAATATTATATCTTATATTTGGACACGTACACCACAGAATAAACAAAGAGCACTTCCAGTGTTTACCTTATTCATACACATTTTAAGGGTGTAATGCACGGTGTTCATTATGTTTAAACACGGCGAAATACCAAAGCCACCGTTTTCAATACCATACTGAATCTTTGGAACACCTCAACATCGCGAAATAACGATTTTTGACAGCATCACTATACACCATAGATATATTTATATACACCGTACGTACAATAAGAATACATGGCACAATAAAGCCATGCATTTCAATATTCGTTTTGTACTGTGTGTATCTGTATATCTTGCCTTCAATTTTGCCATGATCAGTAAAACAGCAAAATTAGAGCGAGATTCGCTTACAAAACAAGCCTGCGATTGTCTATGGACAATGCTATGTATACAGTTGAATGCTTCTTACAC